CAGATAACGCAGCGAAAAACTTAGATACCAATAATCCGAATGATCGTCATTGCAGCGCAGTCCCAACACCATCATCGTCACATGGTATGAAGAAACCTGGTGCTTGTGCATGGAAAATGCGCCAGTCCCTGCTAATCACCGGCGAAGAGGAGGGAATCAGATGAAAAGAGGGAATCACCTTCTGACTCCGGATGCTCGGAACGCGTTGTGATAACGCGGACACGAAAGCAATGCTACAACAAAGCAGCAGCCGTTCTCCCGAAACCTACGGGATGTGACAAGCACCTTCGTTTTCGCTGCCTGCAATCATCTTCTCACACGATCAGGTAGGTGTTACCTCCTCCTCCTTTCTCCTCCTAATTCTTTTTCTCCCTTTCCTCCTCCTCCTTCTTCTCTCCTTCCTTGCGAATCTTCCGCTCATCGGCTTATTTCGTGAGATCTCCTCCTCGCCTCTGCGCGTTCTTCTTTTCTTCCCCACGCTTCTCAGCCCTTTTTCCCTCGAGTCGGATCTCCGCGACGTCGCGCCGTGGTTGTTTCTCGGTGGCCAAGTCCTTCATGACTTAGGCCTGAATGAATCTACCCCAGTTTCAGTGGTACTTTCGAAGAAGAAAACACGGGGTTCGAAAAGAAAAAAAACTAGTAAAACAACGAAAAGTAAAAAAAACCGAAAAAGAAAAAAACTTACCTCTAACTACCCCGTCGTGACAACTGCCTCAACGGGGCCCAACTGTTCTCGGTTGTAATCCTGAAGTCACGGGTTCGAATCCCTGTCGTCTGAGGGCGGCGAAAAAGGTAGACCCTGCCCCCTCTAGCTAGCAAAAGGAGCTAGCCCGAAGGCAGGTCGGACTCGACCCCAGGATCCTCTCCGTATCAGTCTGCGCCTATACCTACTGGGTTAGCTCCTAGTTCGGTTCTACTAGGAGCTAATCTGACCTAAGTAGAGTACAGGGCCCTAGTTCAATCAGTACTTACGGCTTGCAACCTACCGTAGGGAAAACTCAGACCACCGTTTGGCCACTGCGGCCTGGTACAACAGGCTAGGCCCCTCTTGCCTAGTCGTCCCGGCAACCTGGCCGGGGTTTTACTAATTTTTACCTATATTCTATCCCGCGGGGAGTGGTTTTCCCGCCCCGTTTATCCGATACACTCGACGTCTGCGGACTCGAGTCGAAACAAACACTCTTCCTTAGTCGTCAACCGCCTGAGAAAGACCGTAGCCGCGTCCCGCGCGACTCTTTTTTCGTTTTGACTATCCTTCCGACCTTGTGGTCGGAGGTTTTATTTACTAACCACTTTGCAGTCTCTGCGCGTGCCGGAATGGCGCGCGTGGTTATTTCATTTAATAATCTCTGTCGTCTTTGCATGCCCTGCGAGCATTCGAAATTCTTAACCCCCGACTCTTGCCCGCGTGTGCCGTGTTTTGACCCTTGCGGTTTTTAACTATCATGACCATAATGGTCGAGGGGTTTACCCCAGTTTTTGTTTTTAGCCGTATCTGTTCTAACAGTTGGTATCGGCATTGTATCGACTACAAAATCATGAGTCGATACCCTTGTAAGGGTATCAGCTCCGACAGCGTACCTTCAATTTTCTGAACTCTGACAGAGCTCCTGCAATCGCGTTGTTAGTCGGATATGTCTAAACTAAGCAAGCATTTTAAATGAAATTGAAGTTTTTCGTAGTTGAAACTTAACTACAAAGAACCAATTGAAAATATAATTTCACAACTATTATCGAAAAGATTGGTGTGCACGGGGTTTAAACACGGAAAGTGGAAGAAGATGGAGGAGGTAGGTGTCATCATGCTTATCGTCGACTGGCCCCTCCCCACTACCTCCACCCTTCCCATCTTTGACTTCCCTCCTAGCATGTGATATCAAATAGCGATACTACTACTATTACTACTACTAATAATAATAATAGCAATATAATAGCAAGGATGATGATAAATAAATAATCAAACATTCAATGATATCAAAGATAATTAGGATAATAGTGAATATAAATAATAATGTTTTGAATGATCTTGCAAGGAGCAACCAGTGAAAGAGGATAAACTTATCCACAACGATAATCATCTTTCTTTTGCCAACCAATTTGATTTTTTTCTTATTTTTATTTCTCATTTTTCCTTTCCATCATCCCCCTCATTCTCTTTCTCGCCTCATCGTACTTTCAATCTCTCTTTCCTTTATTTTATTCTCGTCTCTCTTTTTTCTTCTTATTCTCTCTGTGGTTCTCGATAACGTTGAGCAAACAAGTCTTTCCTCATTGACTGACGCTGATCAGAATGAGCGAAAATGAGAAGTCGTATAGGTTATCCTTGAAAAATGGTTACAACAGACGCTATTTACAGGTCATTTTCAGCCGCTTCATGTCCCCATCCGAAACTCCTGAAATAACCTGAAGTGGTTGAAGCCTTTGAAAGGGGTTTCAAATACTCTCATCCAACCATTTGGATGGCGGTGTATGAAATCCTTTCCAGAAGCTTCAACCATTTCAGATCATTACGGCGGTTTTAGGTCCCCACCTGAAATTCCTGAAACGAAATATAAAGTGGCTGAAGTTTCTAAAACCAGTTTCAGGTATCCTCATTCAACCATTTGGATTGGGGTATATGAAATCTCATTCAGAAGTTTCAACCACTTCACATCATTACGTCGGTTTCAGGTCCCCACTTGAAATTCTTGAAATAACATATTTCTACCTTTATGTTTGTTCCTTGTCTCGTTCTAGGGGTGGACCGCCATGAGCGGCTATGCATGGGGGTTCTAGGACTCTAGGGGGTGCGGCAAAGACGGGATGTTGTGGAATGTGTGTGTGTTTTTTTTCTTTTTCTTTCTATCTTTATTTCTACCTTTGTGTTTGTTCCTTCTCTTATTCTTGGGTAGGACCACCATGAGCGGCAAAGACGGGATGCCGTTAATGTGTGTGTGTTTTTTTTTTTTTCTTTCTATCTTTATTTCTACCTTTGTGTTTGTTCCTTGTCTTGTTCTTGGGGTGGACCGCCATGAGCGGCTATGCATGGGGGGTCTACGACTCTAAGGGGTGCGGCAAAGACGGGATGTCGTAAATGTGTGTGTGTGTGTGTGT